CAATCATTTCAAGTTCTTCAGACTGTTCGTTGGGATAATGGAATAGAGACGTTAATCTAATGTTTCTGATACCCGCGGAGAGCTTCATAGCGATTTCCGAGTCCTCCGTATCGTCTAACGGCGCGAACTTATTCTGGGCGTATATCTCACCCAGATATGCAGTGATTAGATCTCGTTTTGGCCTATCCGGCGAGAGAGTACGGGGGAACACGATAATGGGGGTGTTGACTATGACATCAAATTTGAACCTGCTGGTACTTTGCTGTAGTTGCTGGGCTTGGTTAGCAGCTGCTTGGCGAGCAGCATTATAGATGGCCTGCATTTTGCCAAACTTGACCAAGAATTCGATAATCTTTCTGAACGGCTCTTCAAGGAAATTAACCTTGATAGACCCAGCACGTAGGTAGATAGATGAATCATATCCTGGGTAAGCTTTTCCATTACTTGGGTCATATGTTTCATAGCGGAAATCAGCGAGCTCGTCCCCTTGGATCGTGACGAGTTGGCGGAAGCTCGAATTTTCTGACGCGCCAATATTAACATCATCCACCAGCGTTAAATCGCCTAACTTGGCCGCCGCTCTCATTGTTCTACCTAGAAGGAAAACCCCAACGTCGGCGTGGTTGAACGAGAGTGTTGCCAATCGAATTCCATCGTTGTTCAAAATCATGCGAATACTCTTGAGATCAACCTTGACGCGGATGGAACCGCCCTCGTTCTGCTGGGAATTAACAGCCGGCTCAACAACTTCAACCGTATCTTCTTCATCTATTTCTCTAATCTTTCCCTGCTGCTGAGAATTTGAGCTGTTATTGTTAGTAAATGTAGTGAGCATGAAGTCCAATAGCGTGAGCAAGGTCTTCCTCGTCACAACCAAGTTAATTGTGGAGACCGCGACGTTGACATTTGTCTCTATGCCCTCGTACACTGGCATGAACTCTGGTGATTCCCTATTGACTCTAGTGAACTTTACACGGACGAGGTCTCTCTGTTGCTGGCGGTCCTCAATATCACCAGATGACACAATAGATTTGAACTCTGCCGGAGGATTGTCGACGAAGTCATCTACCGACACGGAGCCTAAGGATACCTCTGCTGCCATATCGTAAGACCTGATGTAAAAATTAAGATCAAAATTCTCCGCGATAAGTTCTACGAGTAGGGATTCAGGTCGCACACCATCGGGGTCACTACGATAGAGAGAGCCTTGTAACTTGTCGACGGCGAATTTGAATTCAAAGTTGCGTTGCTGCGTCTTAAGCCGCTGATTTGAATTTCCATCCGCAGCATCCTCGAATTCATCCTCGTCGTCATCTGACTCGTCTTCTAGAATTATAGCAGTTTGTTGAGTGAGGAATAGATTGGATGAAGCTTTGTGGTCGTGTGATTTTGGCAAACGGCTCGACGCGGAACTGAGTAGACGTGGTCTATTAAACTGGCCTTCGGTTCTGATTTTCTGCTGCTCTCCATCAAATTTTGGTATAGCGACGTCAATTAACTTCATCAGGCTCTTATATTTAGTGTCAGAAGCCATTGCTCGAAGCACAGGCATGTGACCTGATACCTTGACCTTTGTTAGGTTAGGCGCCTTTGGCAATATCGATAGGGCTACTACGAAGTCGACATTGATCTTCTCCACGATATGAAGCATCCGATTATCATCCTTGTCGACCAACTGGGACTTCGCCTCGTCGATCGAAGGTCCAATCAGGACCTGTGTTGATGTTAGTTTAACTAAGAAGCGATCATACATGAGAGACTCGAGCTGTTTGAAGTCTTCATCGGAGAACTGCTGGTGGTGCTTGTCCTGTATCTGCTTCAAAGTCCCTTTGTCGACTAGCTCACTACTGACGCTAATATGACCAGCGTCTAGAATGAGACATGTAGATCGTGCTGTCTTGATAGACTGAGGGATTATAATAAGGGGTGCCTGAAGGTCTAGCTTAGCATTGATAGTCTTATGCTCCTCAAGAGCGAACTCAAGGCCGGCACGCGTCTGCTGTCTCAACCCCTCAACAGTAGCTCCAGCAGTCTCCATCAATGCTGTTATGGATTCCATGTGCCTCTCAGGTGGCTTGAAGAAGTCAACGACGCCCACAACGAAGTTAGGGTTCCACACGATTTCCAGTGGCTTGAGCTTCGCCGTGACTGCGAAGTCGCTCTTCCCATCAAGGGGATTCTGCTCAACCTGCAAGTCAAAGAAGGTTTCCTGTCCAGACTTCTCGAGTTCGGCGATGGAAAGCCGCCTCTTGCTCCTCGTATCCGGAGCATCCTTGACCCGAACAATCTCCTTAAACAAACTCTCTGGGGTAGTACCATCGTTGACTCGGAAACCACCAAGGCTAATATCAGCAAGGACGGAGTCGGGCCTTTGAAACGCTTTCGCTTTGAAAACATCAAAATGCAGACTTAGCAAATCGGTCGTATTCCCATGAGGATTCTGTCTTAGAGTAAAACTGCCGGTACTAAGAGATGCATCAACTTGCATTTTAATAATGTCACGTGGCATGTCTACGGCTTCAGCCAGAGCGGTTTTCTCGTCCCAGTCAATAGCCTCATAGAGCTCTTTGCGCTGCTCCTCGGTCATCTGAGTGTTTTCCTCCGTTGAGTCGGTGAGCTCGGACGGTTTCGAACCCCACGCCCAAGCTAACCATCCTTGTTGTTGCGGTTCCCTAGATGGTGCTTTTCTGAGCGCTTCTGCGTTCTCCTTTCGCAGTTGATTGCGAGCTAATGATCTCCAGAATCGCAAGTCTTCATAACCAAGCTTCCACTCAAGCTTGTTTATTTCATCGAGTTCCTGTGGTGATAGTTGTTGGTTTGCCTTCTTTTTCTTGAAAAGTTCGATGTATAGGTGACGGTCATCACGGCGTTCACGAAAGTAATCCCATGTCCATCTACGGTTCCTCTCGTGTATTTTGGTGAGTACTGCGTTCCCGGCAAACTTAAGCCAGGCACGAGGATCTTCCTTTGGTGTCACCCCCTTAGGTTGAAGCTTCTTGTATTCCTGGTGGCGAATAAAGTAATGGAAAAGGTCAACCATCATTAGGCCGTCTCGATATTGATCATCGTCGAGAACAACCCCGATTTCATCGAAGAGCAAGCTCGCTTTAAATTTTGGCACATGTACATCACCCGTTTTGTCAAGCTCGATCTTGGCCTGGCCGCTTACTGGCTTCAAGATAAATTGATGGTCTGCCGGTGGGGTAGTATTGTCTCCTGTTCCTATCATCTCCTTAAAGCTCTTGATCATGTCTTTGTGAGACACATGCTCATCTCCCCTTTCCATTTCACGGCCTGGGCCTAGCAGGGTAGTGTCTGTGTTCCAATAGATTGCCAACGCCCCGAGGGTCGCTAGCTTGTGTGTGGTCTCAGTTGAATTCTGGATAAAGGTAGGCTGCCATTCGCCGTCCGTACTGACAGCACTGAATTCGCCAAGAGTAACACCTAGGGCAAACGGATGTCCCGGGGCCGATATAGAGTCCTCGTACCTCACATGAATATTTTTGACTGTGACCTGCAGATTGTCGACAATCTTAGTGACTAAGCTCTCTGTAAAACTCTGGCTCTTTTTCTGCTCCTCCTGACTGAGTCCTTCCTGCGATCTTTCTTTCAAAAGCTCAGCAGAATCCAATTTTTCCATCTTTAATCGTTGCCGCCTGCGTTCTTCTTCTTCCTCGTCGTAGGCCGCTTCTTCCTTTGGGGACGCAAGCAGGAAAACGTCTTCGATAAAGACTTTGACCGGTGCCCCTCGCAAGTTTGACCAAGGTATGACGAGGGTCAGCTCTCCTAAATGACCCTCCATCACGTTGATGGGAAGCTTCAACTGGTCGAGAGCTTCCTTGCGGAGCTCCAAGTTGCGTAGTTTCACATCGCCAGACCATATACCGACTTTCAACTGAGTAGGGTCAAAGTTTTTGACATACATACCCAGGAAACGGTTAAGCAACCCAGCAACCAAGCCCTCTAGCATCCTGACCGTATTACGCCGTAACCCGGGCGGGGCAACTTCGTGGATTAACGGTGGGTATCAGGTCACTTCATCTGGGGAAATACGATTAGGTTGGACGAGTTCGAATTAATACGAGGAGCCTCGTTGGACGGAAGTATCGCCTTGTGACAGGTTTAACTTAGCAATCGAATTGGAAGACGTTATTACTTCGATAGCGGCATAAGTAGGAAGATGAACCGTCGGCTATCGTAAATTCATAGATTCGTAGTGGGGTATCGCCAAGTCGCCGAGTCGCTAAACTGGAAGCAGATATAGAACACGCGCGCTGTGAGCAGCAATCAATGTTCATTGAGTTCGGGGGAGGGGGGAGAGTTGAATCTACACGAGGCCAACTACATGTAGGTGATGGATTTCTAGGTAGGTACCCAAGATACCTAGATTAGCGTAGATTGGGTAGCAAGCTAACCCACGGTTCCTGAACCGGACAGAGGAGGATACGGAAATATTGGTAGGTAGGTACGCAATGAGTGTATAGGTATACGACAGTGTGTACGATATATGAGTAGTGTGCCGTGAATGAGAAGCTCTCAAAACTTTTGTAGGCTCTGAAATTAAAGAATAGAGATTTTAAGGAACCTTTATGAACCTTTACGAGGTACATGTAGGAAGTAGATAGACAAGTAAGCAATAGAATATTGCCAATTCTTATTAGCTACCTCCTAGGTTAGGTATTGTAGCTTGCGACTGAAATCATTTGGTGCCTGTTTTGCGGGATTGATGACGCTGTTGTTGGTTCAAGTTGTGGCTTAACCAACCGCTCGAAATAAAGATAGAATTAACAGTGGGCTACCCGTAGGTACCTGATAGCTGCTGCCATGTAGAAATTTAGGTACCTAAGCATTCAGCCTTCAGCCACAGATAGAGGGGTAGTGCCCACATGGTGTACCTCATACCTAATGTATCATAGGTACATGTACTTCATCGGTAGGTACCTCTTTTAATTATGGTATTATAAAGTGATACACATTTAGCTCATTACGTCATTGAGCTCAGCAAGCTCAATCAGGAACAAGACGTCTCTTCCATAACGAGGTCTGACGATATAATTGCATCAATTATTCCCATCTTGGGATAGCGATTCTACGATGTCCATTTTTAATAACGACCTACCTACTTTATTTTCTCCAAGACACCTAGTTTAAGTTCTCCTAGTAGTATTAGTGCTTCTCCCTACTTTGTTTACATGGCATATACTAGTAAGAGAGAATCGAACTTGTAACAGCTAATGACAATGCTACGAAGCACGCGGTCCTTCTTAACAAGCTCATCCAGAGCAATTGTTTCGTCAAAACCCCCAGTCTCCTTACCATTAAAATCGCAAACCCGGACGACAATTACACCTACTAAGTCTTGTTCAATATACCCAAAAACACCCATTTCCCGTAACATTGCACCAATACAAACAGCTCAGTATGTCACTAAGACACCAAGTGGTTTCCAACAGGGAAGAGGTCCAGAAGAAGAGAAGAAGATTGGCCAGCGCAAGCTTGAGTCGAATCCAGAAGTAGTAACCACGGAGTCAAGTGTTCGTCATTTATATGAGCCCGATAGCCAAAGAGCACAGAAACCCATTAGACATGGCATCAGGGACGATTTGGTAAGAACTATATACAGTTCAATCGACCAGGTCTATCTACTAATGCATTTTATATAGGAAACTGTCAAGGATACTTTTGACCTTTCGAGTGTTCCAAAAGAGCCCTATTTCCTTGGTCTTGCGGGCACCTTGCCGTATCTCGCTACGTCTGTCTCTACCGTTTATCTCTCATGGGATTTAAATACTGTGTGGCCGACTACATCTAATTTCCTGAATAATATCCTCATCAGCCATGATACGGCTCGACAATTGATCAGTGTCATCGAACCCATACAACTAGGATACGGCGCTATCATAATTAGTTTCCTTGGTGCTGTTCATTGGGGCATGGAGTACACAGAAAAGATACCCAACCGAGACCGCACGCGGTTCCGGTATGGACTCGGTGTTCTGGCCCCTATAATAGCGTGGCCAACATTGCTTATGCCTATGGATTTTGCATTGACATCTCAGTTCGCGGCTTTTGTCATGTTGTACTTTGCTGATTCTCGAGCTACCGTTAGAGCTTGGGCACCCTCATGGTATGGAGCATACCGGTTTGTATTAACTGCCGTCGTAGGCACTGCCATTTTTATCAGTCTCATCGGGCGGATGAAAGTTGGCGATGCAAAGCCAAGGCTAACAGGCCTGAATGAGAAGCTACACGACCGAGGGGGCTCTGAGGATTATACCGAGAAATGGGAGCACCTTGAGAAGAAGGAGAAAGAGAAAATAGAAAAGGAAAAGGAGGCCGAAGAGAAGAAGAAAGAAGAGGAAAAGAAGAAGGCAAACGAGAATGCGAAGAAATCAAGCAGCGGGAAGGACGGGGGTAAAGGGGAAAAGAAGGATGAAAAGAAGGACAGCAAGGCGGACGGAAAGGGGGGTGAAAAGGAGGAGGATAAAGGTGAGGAGGAAACGAAGCAAGATGACAAGAAGAAGGGTGAAAGCAAGCGAGCGTGAAGACAAGATATTTGTCGACACTATTATTGATGGATATCAAAGCTGGATGTTGAATAATACCTAGGTACCTACTGTACTTGTCTAACAGGTACGTACACTGGGCAATTCCATGCGATTTTCCCCGCATTATGTAAGGTGGGAGGCGAGCAAGCGAACCTGCTACTTCACCAGCATAGCTCAAAAAATAAGTTTCTAGTTAAACCTATCAATTGGCTGTTAGATATACATAAAAGAATGTTCTTGACTTAGTTAGGTATGTCTCCTTGTCTACATACATAGGCGGGATTATTGAAGCCTCAGGTGAATTAGAGCCGCCGCTTACATAGTGCTATAAGGGTGTTAGATAGTTGAAAATATCACTGCTGCTATCATAACTGTGGCAAAAGTCGACCTGAAACTATCCTGACAACGCGGTTTTCCACATGCCCAGATCCTTAGCACCGTACTTTATAAGTCTCTTAACTTATTGGCACTGTATTAGCCAAGCGCTAAGTTAGAGGTTGGTACGGATTAGTGGCTCATTCATTAAATTCAGGTGCCTTACCACTATATTTCCATAAAACTTTTGGCTTGGGCCTTCATATACCTATACAAATGATTGAAGTCATATCGGCAGTGCTTCCCATCACGAGCATGGCTAGACCGAACGCAAGTTGGTATAGCGGCTTCTGAGATGGCTTTTCCAAATTCCGGGACGCAATTCGTCCTACAGCAATTTTGAGGGACACGATTTCTGGCCATGCCTCGGCGTGTACGTTGATGGAGAAGAAAAAATTCCTAATTTAGCAGGACATGCCGTGTGGCTAGTAATGTTATTGGACGGGGACCACGGGTCATTATAGATCATGCTAGATCATGCCGTTGGTGCTCCTCAAATACGACCTAGTACCGGCAAGAAAGCAAATGATTAACGCAAGCAAAGAATATGAGAGCTGCTGAATCTTGGTCATAGTCGGGTGGCATTCGTAATGAACGGCTATGAATTCTCCAATTCGCCAATTTTGGTAGAACATACATACCTATGTAGTAAGGATATGTGCACTCATTTCCCTGACCGTACATATGTAATGTTGCGATTCGTGCGTTCCCGGGAAAAAGCATCCCACGCGGTCAAGGCAGAGCAACATTCGAACATCGTACGAGGGGCAGAAGGGCGGAATTTTTGCCTTAAAGACCCCCGCGGGATGGCTTATATAAGGTACATCCCGTACATATGTACATACTTGCCCTGCATCCTCGGCCATGGCCCCGGATGGATGTTGGATTACCTAACGTTTCTAGGAGGTGCTAGCTTAAATTGTAATACATAGGTAGGTACCTAGGTACCTAGGTATGTATTTGTACCACATCTCATTGCATCCAAAACTTACGATCATGCTCGCCCAAAGTGGCCAACAACATATGAGGGGCATTCCCTCAGGTAGTAGTATACGTAGGTAGGGTAATTAAAAGATACTAGGTAATACTAGGTAAGGGAAAACCATGGACCCGGGAAGTTCTCTTGAGCCTCAATTCTAATTTGACCCTACGACTACATTCATATTATGCATATTTAATAAGTCTTGCGGTTTAGCTATTTTAGCATAGTCATATTTACTATACTTACTCTAGACGTCCCTCGTCGAATCCCCCTCAATCTTGTAGGTTGAGTGCGTCACTGTGACGCTACAGTCCGACCTCCAATTCCGATCCCAAGGAATACGGCAGCTCAGCCGATACATGGGGGTACAGCTGAGGTACCTATAGGGGTCATGCTTATACAGTTTGTGCTAAGGTTAAGGCTATGCCTACCTTGCCCCCAGGTAAGTGCAACTGGCAAAACGAGAAAGATCATTCCACTTCCTCCGGATTGAATGTTGCTAGGTAGGTGCCCGATGAATACATACATCCATACATGCCCTGTGTTAGGTGTGCACCTCTAAAAAGTACCTATATGTACCTCAAGTATTAACGTATGAACTTGTAAATGAATGGAAATCATCTCAGCATCTGTTGCCTCACACCGCATTTCCCATTCCGAGTTCCCTCACCGGTCCTCCCGGATGCTGTGTTTAAACTACCTACTGCCCACCTACCCTACTGACTACTCTACTCTTATAAATACCTACCTACCTACCTACCTAAGGTAAGATAGCAGAAGGTTTTCCTCTCCACGGGTCAGCATCGTCTTCTAAACCTTAGTTGTAACAACAACCCCTATAATACGACAGACAGTTACTAAACTGATAAACACCATCTTACACCCAGTGCTTGAACAAGCATGGCACCATTCTTAGAAAGGAGAAGGAGGTTTTCAACAACTTCCGCACATCATCAGCGCCGGCTAAGCGAGTTCGCTGCCAAACGGTCAGTATAGACATTCTCCTCGTATAGTACCAACATGAGAGCTTCTTTAATTCCTAATGGGCTATCCGGAGTCATCTGCCGAGGCTAACATATTTTCAGTATGTCTCAATATCTTTCATTATCGAACCCCCATTATGCTAGAAAATAGTAGCATGTTCCCCATCCTCTCCCTCCTCACAAGGACGGAGTGGCCCCAAGAAATAAATAACCCTTCTTTAATACCGTGATACTGACGTAAACCAGACGGGCCCTTTGCACGGGCTTTAACAGTACGTTACATCTAACCTTGAAGAATATTCAACACGTAGCTAACCTGCTGTACGAAGCCGTTGTTTGCCGGTATCTCAGCTGTGAAAAACGGCGACGGTACTGTGGTGTTGTCCATTGCAACACACGATCATACATATCTACTTGATTACATGGTCGAGCATTTGAAACTTGATCCTTCGCAAAAAGACAAAGATGTTATCGCAGATTATGTAGTCTCTCAAGTACAGAAGTATGAGCACGAAAACTTTGTCAAGTTCGTCGGTGCCGGGCTTCCTTTAAATTTAAAGGACATAAGCCCTACTCTGAACTCGCGCCTCTGGTTGGAAATCGATATTGTTCCTATTGACTTCGATGTTGACCAGTCCGAGACATCCTTCTGGGACGATAAAAATGTAGACGAGCAGGCCGATTCGATGGCACGCAAGTGTGTAATGTAAGTTTGAAAGCCCACATTTACACGCCCTTCATGATGATAACATCAATCGGTAGGGTTTTTGGCCCTTCTCTTGTTCCGATACTACAAGTCGGCTTCCGCGGTGCCGTTATGAGCGATGCAGGATTTAGAGCCCACCTGACTACCCTCGACGACTACAAACCAACGTGCAGCAATGAGACATGGGATTCAACGATGTACTTTGCCAAGCAACTAAAGGATAAGAAAGTTAAAATCGCCTTCTTCAGTGCAACTCCTCAGGGAGGTGGAGTAGCACTCATGCGGCATGCATTGGTGCGATTTGCTCGTTTGGCAGGCGTTGATTTGACCTGGTACGGTATGTTGAGATGTGCCCTAGATAAATAGCTCATGCCTCATTTGGAGGCATTAATGAGCGTCTTGCCGATGAACACTGTAATAACATTACATCCTAGTTCCGAAGCCACGTCCGGGTGTGTTCCGGATCACCAAGAATATGCACAACATTCTTCAAGGCGTCAGCAAGCCGGAGGAGCGCATCTTTCCAGACGACCAACAGTCGATTACAGAATGGATTACCGAGAATGCCAACCGCTATTGGCTCTCTAAAGGAGGTCCTTTACGCCCTGTTGATGAAGGTGGTGCCGACATAATTGTGGTATGTGAATGCTACCGTTTGATTAAAAGTTCAATGACTGTTTTGATACGTCAATGACGTTTTTCTCTTCAATTCTTATCTTCTTTTTTGACATCTGTTGTTATACTACTTCGATAGATGGATTTCCAAAACATATAACTGGTTTATTGAGGCTAATTTTAACTCTCCTAGATTGATGATCCTCAAATGCCTGGACTTATACCACTAATAAAAAACATCACGCCAAACCGCCCCATCATCTACCGCTCTCATATCCAAATCCGTAGCGATCTTGTTGCCCAGAGTGGCTCGCCGCAAGATCAAGCATGGACATTCTTGTGGAACAATATCCGCCACGCCGATATGTTCGTGAGCCATCCCATCCCTAAATTTGTCCCGGACAACGTTCCTCGCAATTTAGTCACGTACATGCCAGCGACCACAGATTGGTAAGTGTTCTACCCCCTTTAATAATGGGTTAGTCCTCGTCTAACGCTATAAAGGCTTGATGGTTTGAATAAGCCCATAAATGATTGGGATAGTGGTTACTATGGGAGCAATTACAACGAACAGTGCCATGCACAACGCATGTAAGTCTATTATGAATTTACCCAAGCAAAATGTTATACTGACGTAGGCTATTTTAGGACCCCATTGAGGCATCCGGACTGTAAGAATTATAATCCCTACGTCTACAGCATATACTGATATATATAACTAGGCAAATACATCATACAAGTTGCTCGCTTCGACCCAGCAAAGGGTATACCAACGGTCATAGATTCGTATGGTGAATTTCGTCGGCGCGCCAAAGAATTAGGGTTACAAGATATCCCTCAGCTTGTAGTGTGGGTTTCCCTTAGAGTTGTGCATTTGAAAATGCAAAACTAACTCTTTGATACAGCACTGGTAACAGCTCCATTGATGACCCAGATGGAAATTTGATATATGATATCGTCATGGAACAGATCGAGACGCATTATTCAGAATTTGCCAATGACATTAGTGTCATGCGTCTACAGGCTAATGATCAGCTTCTCAATACCCTAATCGCGAAAGCACATGTGGTTCTTCAGCTATCCACGCGAGAGGGGTTCGAGGTTAAAGTATCTGAAGCATTACATGCTGGACGGCCGGTAATCGCTACTCTGGCTGGCGGTATACCAATTCAAGTCAAGGATAAGGTGAACGGCTTTTTAGTCGAGCCCGGTGATTATAAAGCTGTGGCACAGCATCTCATTGATCTGTTTACGGACCAAGACTTGTGGGACCGGATGAGTCAGGAAGCGAGAAATGGTGTCAGCGACGAAGTTGGTACAGTTGGTAACGCCCTTTGCTGGTTTCACCTAGCCAACAAATTCTACGATGTCGGAGTCAAGCCGGATGGCGCCAGGACTTTCGAAGGAAACTGTCGATGGGTGAACGACCTGGCGCGGGAGGAAGCCGGCCATCCATATGAAAAGGGGGAGAACCGTCTCCCACGACATTTTACCAACCGAACTGAGTGACCTAGATTCTACGAGGGCGATTTGAAGGAGTAGTTATGTTCATATAACATGGAGGAGCAATTTTTCATGATCTAACCTTTGGGAATAAGGCCTGGTATTTTGAATAGCGGCGTGAGCGGGCTTTGGTAAGCTGGAATTTGATTGTGTCTCGGGTTCGGTCGATGTTTTGCCAGTCCCTTTAGTCCTCCGATACCCCCCCACACGGCTGGCTCATAAGGAATATACACATAGACGGACAGTTCTCTATAAATTACAACATTTGCCTACATCGTATGATTTTTCGCCGGTGCTTGACGGGTTTCAAATATTAGAAGCGTCTAGAGTCACGGCCAATTACGTAAAATGCCGCCAACTTGGCGGGTCACCCAGGCCCAGTCAATGAGTAATGGGATGGTTTTTAGAGGTAGGATTACAGTCAACATGTCCCATTATATTTAGCTACTTGATGCGAGATTGGTAGACGTTTTATTTCTAGCCAGCACTTCGCTAATCACTACCTATCTAAACTCTTTCCTCCCTGCCTCCCCGTACCAACCCCGTGATGTTCGAGTCCCAGGTCAGCCCCTCCTCGGTCCGCGGAAAAAGGGAATTTAAAAGCACAAAATGAGAATGCTGTTCTTTTCTTAGAGGTTCAAGCTCTGGGCAGATATGCATATTATGGGAATTGTCATTTGAAATAAAAAGGCAGGGGTTCAGGGTTCAGAAACTCCGTCGCCGGGGTTAGTATCAATACGATTCATGAGGAACATATGTGGCCATACTTTGAGGATAATATTGATAAAATTGAGCCTCCTTAACAGGTACGCTATCAGGAGGATAGCGACGGGCATAATTGAGTTATTCAAAAATCAATTGAGGGAAAACCCAATATGCAATAATATCGATCCTAGAGAAAATGCCCAGATTCAATGAGAAAAACCTTGGGCGGTCTTGGGGACCACCGCGGAGATGGTAAATCCACAAAAATAGTCGGAGGACCTGGTGGGTTCATCTCGAATGAAAAAAAAAGACAATTTTGATATTTCGGTTCATTACTACAACTCAACCGTAGATATTTATTCGGCGTCCTCCACAGGAAACGTGGTACGATGAACCACCGGAACGCCGGAGATGGGAATATTGTTTGTTTGTTTGTTTGTGTCTCGTAACAACAGCCAATTGTCATCGAATATGCACTTCGCGAGTTCATATTTTCAAGATGTTAAAGCAATACATAAGAGCGGGCGTCCACGCAACAGAGGGAGAATTATATATGCCAGGACGTTGCTTCCTACGATTTTAACTATTAGTATCGCTCGAGAGTTTCGTTCCATAACAACATAATCGCCTCTCCCTTTCTTTTAAACCCTATAGAGAATTGCCACTTAACCATTCCATATCACACCCGTCAACATCCAAGATGGCTGTCGCTGCGCCCATCTCTCCGGAGCATATCGCCATCGTCAAGGCGACTGCTCCGGTTTTGAAGGAACACGGTACGGCGATTACAACTCTCTTCTACAATAATCTGATCACTGCTCATCCGGAGCTCAAGAACGTCTTTAGCATGTCCAATCAAAGTAGCGGGGCTCAGCCGCGAGCTCTAGCCCGCGCCGTTTTTGCCTATGCCACCTACGTTGACGATCTCGGCCAGCTGAAAGCTCTCGTAGAGCGTATCGCACACAAGCATGAGAGTCTTAACGTCCAGGCCGACCAATACCCTATTGTAGGAAAACATTTGATAGAGGCCGTGGCCGCTGTGCTAGGTGATGCTTGCACTCCCGAAATCGCCGAGGCCTGGACCGTCGCCTACGGTGCATTGGCCGATATTTTCATCAATAGGGAAAAGCAATTGTACGCTGCTCACCAAAACTGGCAGGGCTGGCGCCGCTTCAAGATCCAACGCAAGGTGTCAGAGACATCCGAGATTACCAGTTTTTATCTCGTACCCGAAGACGGACAGCCGCTCCCGTCATTTCTGCCGGGACAATACATTAGTCTTCAAGTATTCGTTCCTCAAATGGGCCACATGCAACCCAGGCAATACTCGCTAAGCGAAGCACCACGTACTGATTACTACCGCATCAGCGTGAAGAAAGATAAGGGCAAACAGGCTGGCGTTCCGGGATTAATCTCCAATCTGCTGCACGAAAATTACAAAGAGGGTGACGTTCTCGAGCTGACGGCGCCTGCTGGGGAGTTTTTCGTTGACCCCAAGGAAGATGAGAGCAAACCTATCGCTCTTATATCTGCGGGAGTTGGTCTTACACCTATGCTGTCTATTCTCAACAGTGCCGTAAACGCGGGATCCCGCCGGCGCATCTCGTGGATACACGGTGTACATAGCTCCGAGGACCGCGCGTTTAACGACCATATCCGAGACACGTGCGCTAAGGATGTTAATAGTAATATCAAGGCAATGTTCTTTGTTACGTCGCCCCAACAGCGCGATGTTGAAGGAGTTGACTACCACTTCGTCGGAAGAGTAGACCTCGGCAAGGTTGACCCCAAGTCTAACCTGTTTCTCGATGACGCACGCGCCGAGTACTTCATCTGTGGTCCTTACCCGTTCATGAAAGATACGGAGAAGTATCTAGTCGGTGTTGGGGTAAGCCCAGAGCGGATACATCTCGAAGTCTTCGGCACCGGAGATCAGTAGATGGTTTACTTGATCGTTGAGAAGTCAAGCTATAGAGGCCCGATGAGTATTATTCCGGGGCAAGCGCTGTTCATACAGTATATACTTCATTTAGTCTGAATTCGGATTACTTGATGGTGCTAGGCGTCGTCGGTATGGGGGTATTCTTAAATATTTAGATTGATTCCTCTCTAATAAGCTGTTTATCAAATATCGTCGGATTCGTTGGCAAGACCTATTATTCTTACCAGTCAAATGATTTATGAAACTCTTAGCATCAATTTTAACGAGATCCATTTTTCCTCCAGAAGACAAATGATTTGGGGGGGCCACGTGTAAATAATCACGTACACCTTTGTTTCTTACCTAGCCGAATTGTCACCTAGGGTAATTATAACAAATAAAAAAATATAGAATACGATGTAGGCTCTTGAGTTTATTACCCTGCCGGATCTATTACAAGGAAATAAGTAGCACCGGTGTTTGAAAGCATTAGAAGATGCAAACTTGGGTTGGAAGTCGAGGAATAATACCCCAAGCCTCTTTTTTTCTGGGGTTTAGTAATTTGTTAGGTACCTCGGGATTTGGTTGGTAGCAAACAAATGTTGATACCTCTATTCTTTTTTAATTTACGATATCCCTCATCTCCATTACACGAGGAGTTGCCAGGATTTCTCGCAGGCTTCACCCCTTGATAAGCCGGGGAAGTTGAAACCTCCAATGAGATAGCTTATGATATTTCAAACCGTAGGGTTCAAGCTACACAAGAAATAAGCACTGTTCCTATAACCGGTAACCTTTAATGAATAGCAAGAATACGAGATCTACATAATCTAAGTTACCATTAGTAGATCAAGCTTCACACTCGATCACGACATACTATTAATAGCCACATCTAAAAGCTAGGCAATCCACTGTTATATTTAACCTCCTCGGGGTTAGTTGCGTTAGGTACTTAAGTAGTAATACAGATTATGATGAAAATACCTGATTTCACCATTTCCCACGGAGAAGAGCTACATAGCACTTCGTAATAATTATAAAGCATGGATGTTACATATCATAATCCAGCTGTCGTGTAGATGGGACGTAATACGCTCTTGGTTTGTTTTGCTTGCTCATGTTCAGGCAAAACGTATTTACGAATCCCTAAGAACTTGTCTAAACGAGGCTGTATGATTGACACAAACAAGGTCTTCATACAAGGATGCCTAGGTAGTTATAATCAGTTTTATAGAATAGATCTGGTTTTAAGAAGAGGGGGTTCGACACCGAGACAAATCCTATGATCAAGTATTTACAAGAGCACAAGGACAGGTACGCTATGAAAAATAACTGGAATTGGTCTCCCAGGGGAGCGGTTCGGTGTTACACAGTCGATTAAAGATATCCATACCAGTTACACACTTGATATCTGACAGGCAAAGCCTAGCTTCGGGTATTTCGGGACCATCCCATATAAAGACTGCAACTAAGGGGGTTCTGGGGGTGTTGCGGGATTTCTGGGGGTGTTGCGGGATTTCTGAGGGGGATCTTTATTGTTCAAATGACGGGCTTAAGGCTACGATCCAGACTCTGCCATTGTTAATAACTGAAGACGCTAGTAGGAGAACCCCCCCGAAACAAAACCACAACTTTACTTACCCATGTGGCAGAAGGGTTGTACAATAATTATATATATAACAATGAAAAAAGTAAATATGTCATATTGATAATAAGTGTACGAAGAGGCCGTGTAAGTAATTTGAAATAACTTGTCCGTATCTATGCAAGGTAGATAGAGCTTCATTACAGTTGAAGGGGTTCTGGCTCGTGAGAATATGAAAGAGCTCCTCCTCTTAATACAAAGGAGCATATATTCGTGTTGGCTGCAAAAAGCCTGTCATGGTGTCTCGGTAACAAAGTTCCTAATGGATCTGGGCCTGGTGCCTTAGAGCTACAAGTGCTGCTGTGGAATTTTACATTTGGACAGGCTAGCTCTCTCAATTAACGATTAGCAAAACGAATATGTTTTCCTAACTTAACTTCCTTTTATCTTACTTGAATTTTACCGTCTGCATGCAGGAACGTTCAGCCTAATGTTTGTGTAGAGGAGGTACATATTCACACCGAGAGAAACTCGATATGTCCTGGCTGTAAATCTTCTACCGGCATCATCATGTGTCACTCTCTAGTACCAAACCCGAGTCACATAATATCCCACTTTTAGTTGTTGGCTCGACTTACAATCCTATTTCCTTCGTCAGTCCTTTCTCAAATTAGAATCCTGAATCACTGGCAAGTCACTTTCTCTGGCAACCGTGAGCTCACCATAGCAACACATTATGCCCCGTTGCAGCTGTTTCCGCTTTTCAACCAGATGAACACAACTTCCCATTTACCCTCCCCCCCCCTTTCAATATCAATACATTATAAATTCTGCAATTGCAACTTACAGCAATGTAAATCTGTATTTACTCCCACACCACACACGCACACATACACAAAAACACAAAATTCAATATTACATTCGTCTCTCTTTTCGTCTGTTCTTTTGTAGACATCTGGATCCTTCCTTCACCCATCTATTATCTATCTACCTTTACATTACATTCACATCAATTACAACAAAGTGATACAATATACATATTGTAGTCGACTTAGGTTGACTTAAGTTGGTACAATGGCGTACAAAAAGCCACTGGCTGAGCCAATTGCAGTTGTCGGCGTAAGTTGTCGCTTTGCTGGTAGCGCTACGTCGCCAAAAAAGCTCTGGGAGGTGCTTTGTAATGCTCCGGATCTCTCCCGAGAAGTCCCCCCTGAGAGGTTCAACGCTATGGCCTTCTATCATCCCGATGGAGAGTATCATGGTACAACGAATTCTATCAAGGCATATTGGCTAGACCAAGATCACCGTGTTTTTGATGCAGGCATGTTTCACATCACGCCAAAGGAGGCAGAAGCTGTCGACCCTCAGCAACGCCTAATCCTAGAAGTCGTCTACGAGGCCCTTGAATCAGCTGGATACACTCTGGACACATATTCCGGGAAGAATGTCGCCGTTTTCTCAGGTGTGATGACTGCCGATTATGACACCCTATCCCAGCGCGACGACATGTCCACGAGTCAGTATTATGCAACTGGGAATTCTCGTTCGATTATTTCGAACCGAATATCGTACTTCTATAACTTCCAAGGCCCATCTATGACCATAGATACCGCCTGTAGCTCAAGCTTGGTGGCTCTCCATCAGGCTGTCTTGAGCTTGCGTTCAGGGGAAAGCATTATGGCGTGTGTAACGGGCACAAATATAATGATGACCCCGGAGCAATTTCTTGTAGAGTCCAGTCTACACATGCTGAGTCCTACTGGTAAAAGCCGGATGTGGGATGCAGCAGCCGATGGTTACGCACGTGGAGAGGGTATTGCCGCCTTTCTTCTTAAGCCCCTTTCTCGAGCCTTGGCAGAGGGTGACCAGATCACCGCGATTATCCGCGATACTGGAGTCAACTCGGACGGACGAACGAAGGGAATTACGTTGCCAAATCCTCAGGCCCAGACCATCCTTATCAAAGATACCTATCAGAAAACGGGCTTGAATTCACTGGAACCTAACGATCATTGCCAATACTTCGAAGCTCACGGCACCGGTACACCCGCGGGTGATCCTAGAGAAGCTGAAGCTATTTATAATGCCTTCTTCGACGATAGCACAAGCCTTACTCATGTTTCTAGGACTAAACGCTTATTAGTCGGGTCAGTCAAGACTGTTCTTGGGCATACCGAGGGCGCAGCTGGGTTGGCTGGATTGCTCAAGGTCATTGAAGCTATGAAGAACAATGCTGTCCCACCAAACCTGCATCTCGAGAAAATCAACCCTACTGTTGAACCCTTTTGCAAACACCTTGACGTACCGACATCTCTGGTTCCTTGGCCCCGTCCACCCATCGGTCAGCCTAAAAGGGCGAGTGTTAATTCATTTGGATTCGGAGGCGCCAACGCCCACGTAATCGTTGAATCGTACGAGCCATTAATTCACGATGAAATCTACAAGGAAAATGTTGGAAACAAGCCGAAGTCGTCAGGAAGAGAGTCGGGAAATATTCAATCAATAGTAAAGGTTGGGGATACCTTATTCTTTTTGCCTCTTCTCCTATCCGCTGGCTCCCAGAAATCGCTGCAAGCTGTCGTTGCCTCTTACAGAGACTATATTCTACAACACCCAGATGTTGACTACGCTCAACTAGCTTGGAGTATATATTCTCATCGAACGGCTTTGCCATATCGAACCTCAGTGTCAGCAAGCTCATCAACACAAGCACTTCAGGTTCTCAACGATATTCTCGAGCCAACATCGAGCATCACAGGGATTCGGAGCACCACTTCAACCGGGCGCCCAAAGATCATTGGCGTATTCACTGGTCAAGGTGCACAGTGGACTTCAATGTCTAAGTCTCTGTTTTATACCAGTAAAGTATATTGCAATGCTATTCGTGAGCTTGATAAGATATTAGGTTCCTGTCCTCACCCCCCTAGTTGGACATTGGAAGAACAGATTCTGGCGGAGAAGAGCGAATCCCGTGTGGATATCGCAGCCGTATCCCAGCCTCTTTGCACCGCGTTGCAAATAGGACTGATAACCCTTTTGCAAAGCTTGGGTATAAATTTCCACACTGTAATCGGACATTCTTCTGGGGAGATTGCGGCCGCATACGTAGCAGGAAGACTTTCAGCACGGGATGCGATATTGATCTCGTACTATCGCGGTTACTTTGCACATCTAGCCGGTGGCCAGGATGGTCAAAAGGGTGGAATGCTTGCAGCAGGAATATCTGAGGCCGAAGCTTTGCAATTCTGCGAAAACCCCATGTTCAAAGGCAGATTGCAGATTGCCGCGAGTAATGCACCATCCAGTGTTACGCTTTCAGGTGACATTGAGGCGATTCGCTTGGCCCATGACGAGCTAACCAGAGAACTGAAGTTCGCGAGACTACTCCGCGTCGACTCGGCTTATCATTCGTTCCATATGGTCAGATCCGGAACCAAATACGTCGAGGCTCTGCAAGGCAGTAGGATTATGCCAGCTGGGCAAGGCAACGAAGTTATCTGGATTTCTAGTGTCCATGGCCGAGTTATGAAGGGGGAAGAGCTTGGGCTTAGCTACTGGAGAGACAATATGGTTAACATGGTACGATTCCACGATGCCACCGTAAACGCGATTTTGCAACAAGGCCCATTCGATTGTGCTTTGGAAGTTGGGCCTCATCCAGTTCTTAAAGGGCCCTTCACGCAGACTGCAAAGTCTCTTGGATACGACATTCTTTACTTCAGTCCACTAGAACGACATAAAGACGACTCGTTAGCCTTCGCTTACTTTCTCGGAGGCTTATGGTCCCACTATGGCACTCAAGGAGCTGATCTTCGGAAATATATTGACAACTCACCCGAATACGGCGTCCTCAGCACACGTCTTACCGATTTACCCACGTACTCATGGGATCATTCGCAGATTTACCACCGAGAATCTAGAATCTCGCGTCAATTCCATTACAGGTCCGCCCCGCCGCACGAGTTGCTCGGCGCTCGAAC